GCCTTCAATTCAATTCAGATGATACGAAGTCCCTTGGACTTTTAGCACCTTGTCCACAACAGACTTCTATCTAGTATGTTCCTACACTTGCAAATACTGCATATCCAGGGCCAGCTTCCTGCCACACTCCCTGGTCCACCCTCCTGTCCATAAAATTGTAATTCTAAACAGAGATCCTCTCAGCTCTCACTCAGATTCACTAAGCAGCCATCAGAGAGTACTGCCCTTAAAGCAGGATAAAGACCTAAACTACATCCTTCCTGATCACTACACTGCATTAGATACCTGAAGTGTGAGTATTCTCTACCCTCCTTCTGGAAAATGACACTTATCTCAAGTCTTAAAAAGACACTCGTGCGCATGCACACGCACACATGCACACAAACTCTCTCTCTCTCTCTCTCTCTCTCTCTCTCTCTCTCTCTCTCTCTCCCAACAGACTTGCAATTTTCTGTTCTCTATTAAGTTGAAACTTCTAACATTGTATTTATAAGTCTTTCTTTTCACTGTTGTTCTATCACTTACTCCTGCTATTAAACTTTTCTGTGGCTCTTTTCATGAACAGGATAAATCTTTGCCAACACTTGCACATGTTGCTGGCATTGACATTAGCTCTCATATAATCTGTCCCTCTCTTCCTAGAACACATTCTTTTCAAACCCTGTCCAGCATGGCTTTCCTTCTGGAAGCTTCTCTGGTCACATGTATAGACAGATATCTTGTCTTTCCACTATTCTTTCCTGCCTCCTACTCTACCCTCATTAATGTCCAGTGGCATAACTCACAGGCCTAGAACTTTGCACAAGAACACCCAGTTAGAGAAGAGGGCAGAAGTAATAAGTGGGGGTGGGAGTGTTGTGAGGAGCAGAACTTCTGCTTGATGATGCTTTCAGCTTGCATTTCCTTCCCCAGCTAAAACCTGAGGTACAAAGAGTTATTTGGCTACAGCCAAGGAAGTACCCCACACTCTGTAGCCCACTTTGGTGATACCAGAGATCTGACACAAGAACTGAGGTCCAGTTCTCTTTCATCACAACAAAGTAAAAGTATAAAGGAAGAAACCCAGTCACCTGGGATAAAGTACAATATCTGTGAGATACATGATTTCCTCCAGTGTCATCTCCCTGAACATGTCACAACTGAACAGACAATCCAGTTTTATTACTTCCACTGTTTTACTTTATTTGTAAAATAAGTCACCTAAAGCTTTGTCATTAGGCAACATGACATGATACTCAAACTGCAGTGGCTTCATTTAAAGGTAGCCTGAAGAAGGGAGGAGGGATACCATAGGCAAAGGATTAAATGGTGTCTAGAATAGGACTTCTCTTGTTTCAGGAAGATAAGGAAGTATCCCTGAAATGCCCTTATAATATAAGCTTCCAGAGAAAATAATTTTCTGTATTTATCATAATTTTCCTGTACTATCTGTAAATAACTACACAGAATGGTTCTGTGTACTTTGGGTTAGGTCTAACATGAGCTATTGGAAGATCCCTCAAGTAAAAACCACAAAAGTTTCTAAGTGTGAAAGACTGGATTCAATCTATTAAAGATAAGACTTCAACTACATGTAAAAGAAAATAAAGGCAAATTCCAAATTATAAAATTCAGGCACCACAGTAATTCTTTGTGCAAAAGAACTCAAGCAAAATCAACATTTTTACCTCCCATAAATAATATACACCACCACCATTACCCCCAAATCATCACACAGTCAGTTACACACAGTGCACAATGGTGGCAAATACAAAATAGTCCTCTCTGGGAACATACAACTAAGGGCATTTCATCAATACTTACCCACCTGCCAAAATAAGTAAAAAAAATACATAAAGTATAAATGAGGAAGGGTATTCCTAAATCAGAAATGAATAGTCAAGGCAAAGGCATGTCAACATCCCAGATATCTTCCTAGTTGATGGAAAGTAAGAGTAGTAGTAAGAGTAGTAAGGACCTAATTTTCCAGGTTGGTAAAACTAGTGAGTATCTTTCTGTATATTCCATGGGTCAGCCTGAGAAAGTTGCATGGATGATGAAGCTTGCATGGATATCCCCACCTTGGCATTATGTATAACTGTTTCCCAGCAAAACACGGTTCAAGCTACATCTTCAACTTGGGACATTACCCAATAAATACAGCGTATCTATGTCTTTCTTCCATGCCCCCAACCCAAAACACAAAACAAGCTCCACCCACACCTTGAATCAGTAAATTCAGTTTACCCAACTAGACAGATCCAGTTAAATATAATATATTATAAAAATATAATTATTATTATTATTCTCAACCATGGTCTGTAAAGGAAAGGAAAAGAGAGAAACATTATTGTAGTAATAATAAATATGTAAATTCTCCCCTAGGGAAGGAGAAGTAAAAGTCAGATAGCTACCCTGAAATTTGGAAAGAAAGCTGGACTAACCAAATTCAGCTTATAGTAAAGAAAATAAATATCCAAACTTATATCCTAGGGGTCTTTTGAGAACAACCTCACCAAATAGACCACTTACCAGGCATCCTCCCACCCATGATCTTACTTTGTACTATATTCTGTTTGCATGTTACTTGGAAGAAGGCTTTGTCTCCCCTTCTAAAATAAAATCACTCTAGGGTAGGACCTGCTTCATGTCTCTCAATGAGACTAGAAACCCTAATTCTATAAGTAAATATTACTAACCAAGGCTTGAAGGCATGGCAGCCCCCAAACTGTCTACTCCTTAGACCAAGAGGAAACACAGCCACCTCCTCCAGCTCTCCTACCTACATGACCACCCCGAGCCCTACACCTCTCAAATTCATTCTCAGTCTGGCAGAGGCTGAATTCCAAGTCAGTAAAAACCCATCCTGATGTAAACTTCATGCTTCACACCAACTGTGTGTAGACCAAATCCATCCACTGAAATGTTGACCAAAATCTATGTAAATGTGGACCAAAACATTTTTGCTTCCTTCTAACAATATCTATAGAGTTCTTGCTATACTCACACTAGTATCATTACACCATTATTTGGGTAAACAATCAGGTAGCCAGCTTTTCTTTAGAGGCTGTATAGACTCCATATTATCTAGTATCATTCTGGTATGGTTGTGAACAAGGTGGTTTTTCCTAGTCCCTCTGGGATAATTTCAGAGAAGACAGGGAAATGCAAAACTTGTCACTCATGATTTGACACATTTACATCTTTATTTTAAGTCAGAATCCAGTTTGGAAATTCTTAACGTTTATATCATCACATCAAAACATGATGATCAACCCGACAAGTCAGAAAAGCATAAGCTTCTGCATCTAGAGACCTTCAGAAACTAGATGGGTTACCAGAAAAAATAAAAATGACATTTTTCAAACACAAATCAGAAAAGGCTGGGAAAAAACCAGGAAAGATGTGCAATTAAGGGATTAGAAAGTGATGTGATACATTGATGTCAACAGTGAAAATCAATTTCCTCCCTATTTCCCCCTATGATTCTCAACTCCCTTTTCTTAACCCTGAATCCTGTCAACAATGAACACCTAATAAAAATCCTCAGGAGAAAGCAGAAGGAAATCCTGTCCACCTTATTTTCCAAACTATAACATATGACGGCCTTTGTCTACAATGAACACTGATCCATGCTCATTTTTTTTTCCCAAGAAGCCTTGCAAACAGTTTTATTTGCCCCCTCAAGTCCTTCCTTTCCTTGTCAGCACATATTCTAGAAATCCATCCAGTGCCCCATCCATCACTATACCCCGTCTCCACATTTAGAATTGCAGCTAGGGATTGTCGGAGCTCATGACTCCTTCTGCCATGTACCTCCTCCCAATATACACCTTCAGTAATATGCTACACATAAAGTATCTTAGGAAAGGCTGACTATGTCCCTGGTTATATTCCTTCATATATTTAACTGTGTCCTTCTGTCCTCCCATGAAATTACTTGGCTGTCTCTTTCTTGTGTCCTCTCTCACCAGAGTGTGCTTGGTTCCTGTCATAGCCCTAGGTAGCTGTTCTATACCACTACCATCTGCCTTGGAAAGTTAATTGTTGTGTTTGTTTTGCTGTAGGAAAGAGAACAGATCATCTGAGTCATATTAAAGTGGTATTATGCCACAATGTCCTGAGTTCTTATCCAAATATAGATCAATATGACTTTTCCACCAAGATCCATCTGCCTCACCCCAGCTCAGGCAACATAGTCTACACAAAGAACATTGGGCACCAATTCTTAAGGAATATTCTTTATTCCTCTTCACTAGTTCTTTTTAATCCCCACTTTGCTTTGTGATTTCTGTGCTAATAAAAGAAAAAAGGGACAAGGATAAGCCAAAAAATATGATCCAAAAATCATATTTATCAATTTGAAATATACTTGGTTAAAGATACTGGACTTTCCACATGATTTTGCTTAAACTAAGGTTAAAATGAATCTGCCTTTGAGGGCATATAACACATATTAATTGATAATGGAGAATCATTCCCAAGAAACTCTAGAGGGCAAGAGAAAGACAACCTTGAAATCAACATTTGGCACATATAAGCAATAAAATAGGTGTCATGCATGGATAATCATTGTCTGGGCTTCTGGTGTTGGAGTACTGCCCACAGTGTACATGGTCTTGGGAGCAGAGAAGGGTGGAGAAGAGTTTAAGACTCTAAGGCCTTAGATTAAAGAGTTGCAAATATGTACTTTGATAAGAACAAATGGCCTGTTGGAGACCCAGGAAGCCAGACCTATTTCAGGCTTCTCCACCAAGGTTTTATAAATTAATAAATTCATGTACATAAAATTGATAGATTCCAAGAGAAATAACAGAGCCATCAAGTTTCAAGGTTTATTTAGCCCTGGCTCATTTACAACATACTTGGGAACTCAGAGAAGTCTTCATACAGTGTTTTAAAGACCAGTAGGCAGCCACACCCCAGGGGATCTTGGTAATCTTTCCTCCTACAGCCTGACCTGGCTTATAATCAATCCTACCACAACTTTTTAAAATTAGATAAGAAAGGCACAGAGATACCTTCACAGCTGTAAAAAATAGATAACTTGCTCCTTCAGCATGGGGGAAGAATATCTTCAACTCCTCTCTGGTGATGGTGGACCACCTTATAAAACTGGACCTGATATTCTGCAAAGTCCACACCAATATCCTCCCTAAGAAGATATGATATAGAGACTTTCAGAATCTCAAGTGAGAAAGTGTGTCAAAACATGAAGGAGGCAGCAGAGTCAGATGAAAGAATCTTCATTCAAAGAACATGTCTAAGCATACTATGTGCTGGACCCTGTGGGAAAGACAAAGATGAATAAATCAAGCTCTGTACCATAACAGGAAGGAAAGGCCAGGAAGGAGGGCGGGCAAAGAGGTGGGAAGGACTAAGTAGGAGAAGTGCCAAAGAATAACCTCTCCTAACTCATATTTTCCTCAGGAGAGCTGAGAACCTTTCTGGTCTGGAGGAGAACAGAGTGTAGGCCTCCAAATCACTCTGACCCCAGCAAATCTACCTGCTTTTCCCAAATTTTCAGGGCTTCTGATCTATCTATACCCCCCAAAGCAAAGTCAGCCATGAAATATGCAACCCCCATAGCAGAACTCCAAGCCTAGCCTTTTTCCTCTCTGGATCTGTGTTAGTTTCCTTGTCAACTCTATAAAAATGAGAAATCACTTACCCATGAGCTTTTTATTTCTCAAAGGAGAAAGACCTGAGAAGAAAGTGCAAGCCAAACCCAGGGACAGGGAAAGGCTTGGCTAAGCAGAGTCAGCACTTGAAGTGGAGCTTGGCAGGGGCTCTCTAGAGATAGGGCCCTTGGGGAGGCCGGGCATTTGGGGAGGCGGGACACACCAGCAGGTTGAGAAATAGTGAAGGAGTTGGATTAGACAGAATTCAGAAGGAAAGCAGGAGGTGGGGAATGGAAGACTAGTGGGGTCATATCTGGGTGAGTTGGTGGAGTGAGGGCTTAATTGGGACTTTTTTGGAGACTTTGTGGCAGCAAGATGTGAATTTAGAAGTAAATAAATTCTCCAGAGTCCTAGGTATAGAGGTTGTACTGGTTGGCAGAAGGAGAATGTGGGAAGCTAAGTGGAGTCCAGCATGTGGTAATTTGGAGGCCAGTCCCTGATCCAGCTAAACAGCCTCCTCAGCAACCCTTTAAAGAATGACAGAAGCAACCCCCAATGGCCCACTGAGAAATCTCCTACTAGTTTCCTCTACCACCACCATCCACCCCTGCTCCCTCACCTATGTTTCCCATCACTCCGGGAATAAAACTAAAAGGGAACTTGCTTAAGCTTTACCAACAGGGATTTCCAGAGACACTCACTCAATGTTCTTAGCACATTGTAACTGAATAACATATTCAGCTTGTGCTAGAGGAAATAAAGGAAAACATAGTCCTTGCCTGGAGAATTTCCTGCTTTGGGATCCTCTTCCACACCACCTGTCTTTCTGCTGAGCCTGGTCCACTTTCAGGTGCTGCTGGGTGAGGGGTGCACCCATAAAGCTGACAGGATGAAGCTGCTGTCATTGCTGCCCCTGGCTCCCTCCCTGTGTCACCTGGGGATCCCAGAGACCCCTACATGGATATGAAAATTGCCTCCCCTACTATGTCCTCCACAATGCTGCAATCAAAAGACCCTAAAGATCAGCCCTAAATGTTTCAAAGTGAATGCAGCCTGACACAACTAGTGCAAAGGAAAGTGGGGGCCAGGGAGAAAGAGAAACAGAGGGAGGCAGGCAAGCCAGGCTGACAAGCTCTGGAGAAAGTTCTGGGAACAGAAAGGTTAGGGATCACATGGAGAAGAGGGAGGAGAGGGTAAGGACCGGGACTATGTCTGCATTGAGAGCTAAATAAGCACCATGCAAAATATAAGCAAATAATGTATTAGTGATGGTCAATTAATTTGAGTCAACAATGTAATCACCTTCTGAGCATCACCATCAATGCCTTCAAGCAGCTTTTCGCTAAAGGACCCCCCAAAATATGCATATGCAGCCTACAAAAGGGGAAACTGAGGCAGAGTTTAGAAACCTTCAGACCAGTATACATGCTTGAATCTAGGTTTCAAGGGAAAAGCAATGAAGCAAGCAAACATGTGTGTGAAGACCTGAGACTTAGCATGGCAATCTGGACCCTGCCTTCTTCCCCAGGCTTTCCTGAGACTCTGCAAAGACTAGCTCCTCAGCTCCTCTCAGGGCCAGGGGAGACCCTAAGAACATTAACACAAGCAATCTAAAGGGAATTTTTCTCTCTGCCTCCATCCCTGCCAGCCACATTTGAAGGTCTCAGAGGTAAGATGTTTGGTTATATCCAGAACCCAAGGAATCTCTTTAGGAGCAGGAAGGAGGGTGAGTGAAGAGGGAAACTTCCAGAAAAGTCTTGCAGAGAAGACAAGAGAGCAACACCCACCAGGTCTATCCCACTCCCATGGACACTTAGAAGTTTAATAAATTTCAGTGTGTCCAGGATTTACATGTAATTAAAACCAGGAACTGGGTAATTAAACTTCTTCTCCAAGTTTACCCTCTTCCTCCCCCACAGACACACATCTTTTATGAAAGAGTGAACCAGATCCTGAGCTTCAGAAACTACTTCCACTAAAGAAATGGGTTTAATTTCAGCAAAAGAAATTCATCAGACACTCTGGAAAGGATTTCCTTAGGGCTACAGTAGGTAAATGCTAAAAACAGAGAAACACACACACACACCCCAAACAGGAAAAGGTAAGTCTTCTCTTTGCTGTTGTTTCTTTGCCTGTTGGATTGAAATCCAGATGATGTGCCTCACATAAGAGAATAAAAGATCTAAATATTAGGAGGTTAATTCCACTCTAACCCTCAGCTCCAGGAAGGAGATGATTATTTCCTTCCTCAGCCATGGCACTCTCAAAAAGGATTACACAGCCTATAGGTAAGAGATACACATCAGAAGCCTAGTTTGCTGTCCTATCCCCTGAGGCCTCCCTCTCCTGTTTGATCTCAAACTTTCAGCACCTCTCAGTGTCCATTCTTTAGACTCCCCCTGTGAAACCACCTCAGGGGGAAGGAAAGCATCCCAAAGGAGGAGAAGACAAGGCCCTGTTCTCTGGCATGTGAGAATAGAGACACAGCCTGGCTGTCCACATCTGCTTGCCTCTATTCCCCTTCTTGCTGGTTCCCCAGTAGAACTGTTTATTCCAGGCAAGCGAAGCTCTCTCCTGCCTGGCTTAAGTTTTGCTCATTTTGCTTCAGAAACAACAGAGAAAGGTTCTCTTCCTCTTTTCCTCCTCCATCCCATGCCCTGTTGGGTTTCTTCTTCTAAATCCCACTCATAACAGTCCTCTTCCAGGTAGCTTTCCCCAATCAACTAACTGGATCTTATTCCGAATTTGCCTTGGTCCTTTGCATTTGTTGGTCTGAGCTGAGTGTCACCAGGTAATTTTGCATATTAGTTGCAGGGAGGGTGTCTATAAGACCCCCAATGGCAGGACCTTTGGATTGAGTATCTCAGGAAAATGCAGGCCTCACCCTCCAGTACCAGGCTGGGAGTGTTCCTGGGAGCACTACTACCTGTTTTTCACAGACAGGAATATTAAACTGGGGCTCCAGCAAACACCAGGAATGACTCCTTCTGTCACATCCTGCAAACTGCCCCTTCAGAATGACCTTTCAGAGCCATTTTGGAAGAGGACACATCCTCCACTGTGTCTTCTCACACTCACCTTATATTAACTGGAAATACTGGTTCCCAGCCGGGTCCTCACTTTATTCTACAGCCTCAGAAAAAAAACTTGGCAGTTTTAAAAAATCGGATCCACCCTAAAGGACAAACATGTGTCTTTGGTGAGGATGCTCAGGGCTGTGCTGCAGGCTGTGAAGCCAATCCCCACAGAGGATGCCAGGTGACCAGGCACCTGCAGCAGCAGTTGTAAGTGCTCCTGTGAAGAAGATGGTTGCATGGAATAGGTTCATTGTACTTAAAACAAGAGAGACACATGGTCACCCTAAAAAGCACTCACTGACTACCTGCCCACCTCCCCACAGGGTTGTTTCATCCCAGCCCAGCCTCTTTGGGGAGACAGGAGACCCCACACCCCTCCCTCTGCAGGACTGCTCTGAGCACTGGAGGTAGAGGGGGGAAAATAGAAACAAGATGTGAGTTAGAGAAAGACTGAGATGGAGAAGAATTGGCAAAGCCCCGACTGAAATCAGAGGGAGAGAAACAGAGTGGAGCAGGGAGTAGAGAAATGGACAGAAGACAGAGGGAGACAGAGGAGGTGAAGTAATATGATGGAGGTGGGTGTGCAGAGACACAGGGAGAGGGAGGGTACCTCTTGCTGCAGGAGGGAGAGAGGGGCAGGAAAAGAGGCTGTTGAGAAGCAGATGAGGGGAAATGGGGGAACAGATTTTGCTTGCCCCATTTCTGGCTATGCTGGCCATTCAGGTTCTGAATCTTCCCCTTTCCACTCCCCAGTTAGTCCAATGGGAGCCATTGGAAATTTTGGGAGTGCATTTAAGGTCCCCTTGAGCCAGGTGTCTTTGCATCTGGTGCATTCTACGGGAAGTGCAGTGAGGAGAGTCAGGAGGCCTGCTGGAGGCACTTTGCCAGAAGTGAGAGGTGTGTGCAAAATATAAAACCTGGGGGTTTTGCCTGTGCATGCTGGACCAGAACTTCCCAATGTCTCCTTGCACCCCTCAGACAGGCCTACATGGGGCAACTAGTCCAGGGAGGAGACGTAGCATATCTTCAAACACAGGAAGGGGAACACAAATTATGTGTCACTCTTTTATCACCTCATGGCCTCTGTAACCCTTCATATGTATATGTATATGTATATGTATATGTATATGTATATGTATATG